CAAATCGTGTGATTTCCGGGATGGAATCAATCATGTAGTTCAACTGTAGGTTGGAAAGATCAGAAGCCCTTGTTACTGTGGTGATAAACTAAATCCCCCAATGTAAAAAAAAATCACTACTGACATTTTTTATTAATTGTCTAATAACCTGCTCCGTTTTGTTTCGGCCAGCGACCTTTGACACGGACACGTGATAATCCATTCGACTTGACGGCACACGGGGGCCGGACGCTTGTTTCAGTTTCTTCTTTCACCCACCACCACCCCTTCCTCCACCATTGTTAATCATTAACCATATGTTTTATTAATTTTCTGGGTGTTTTTTTTTTCGGAAAATTAATTTATTAAAACTTTTCCTAATTTTTCCGGCTAAACTGTGTCCGCTTCTCTTCTATGCTTCTTAGTTTTGGATGATAATTTTCACATATTCGACAAACAAGCTAACAGGAATAGTGTCGAATACGAAAGGACAAGCATTTAACTCAAAAATGTTTATTTTGTGATGTAAGGAGAAGCCAAAGCAAGATAGAGCCGATTCAGACCAACAAGCATAGATGTACAAGGCGGTATTTGTACATTTACTTACGTTAAACAAGTGTTCTCTCTTGCTCTGTTCATACTGTACTCCACTGGGTGCGTGTTTGTCCGGCTCATAGTCGTAGCTGGCATTGTATACCAGGCGGACATAAAACCTATGCAAAGCTGTTTTAATGTGCGAGATTAAGAATTAATTCCATGCTATATTCTTGTCCGTCCTAATAAATAGATTACATTAATGCGGATTGCAATTACAAAATACACTGTATTGATTTTTTTTCATTCCGGTGTATTTTTAAAATCTAGCCTCGTCCAAACCTAAATAATCTATTACAAGTAAATTGTATCACACGATAGTTGAGAACTTAGGCATTTGAATGCGTATTTTCATGTACATGTTTACCGAGAGGAGAGGGGTAAACACAATCGTCTAAGGCACTTAAAGCTATATTTAAAAAAAAAAAAATTAAAAAGTGACCTCTCGGGCATCTAGTACACGATTGTTTGTTTTTTCTAACTGTATAATGTAATATTATTAATTGATATATTAATTGATGCTTAATGTGTATTTTCCGAGAAACTGAAAATGCAGCCTAACTAATAATTGTTCAATGCGGTTAAATATTGATATAACACAATGACGTCTATTGTATTATCATTATAATATGTCAAATGTTGATGAGACAAGTTTTCTTGAAAGTACTTAAAAGTGTATCTAAATACTAGTTAATCATATAATGCTGTATTTTATGTAAAGGACTCCAGGAAGAATAGTGATGTAATTATCACTAATGGGAGCTTCCTAAAAAAAATAACAACAAGAACAACCTTTGCAGTTGTCCTGGAACCTGATGAGCCACGGACGACATCCACATCTGTAGCTTCCTGCTGTGTTCAAACAGGTTTCCCGGGCTTTGTTGCAGGGAGACGCTTTTCCTCTGCACTCGTCTATATCTATGTACATAATATAAGGACGTGGTTATCGAAGCATATTTTGAGACCGTTAGTTTTATGGTAACCAATAATTTGTCCAATAAATTGTGTACTGAGTCTACTGACGGTAGAGCCTTACCTTAACCTGAAAATGCGTCACGTAGACAACAACGAAGTAATTCACTTTAGAAACAAGTAAATTGTGTGCTTCTCCTGCTTATTTACATATCTTTAGTAACCCTAAGCCTTCCAGCCATTCCAACTTGTGGTCTAACATTTCATCTTTCATCTTTGCCGGGATTTATGCACGATTTGCTGATAGGTAGAATATTTTTTTGCATATTTATGTGTTCTTACTACGTGTAAATTGTATTGTCTTCTGCCACCAATTAAGGATGTTAACATTATTTCTTGTTTTGTACTTTGCAGTTAGATTTCTTTATGTTTGTATAACGTCTGTGTTTGCCAGCTTCGACTGCCTTGATGATCCGTGTAAAGTAAACATTGGGCAAAAATCAAGTCAAGTCAAGTTTTTTTACACTACAATCAGGTACTATGTAAAGCAAAGCGTTTTGTAAAAGACATCAATCCAGTACAATGTAGATTTTAAGCTATACAATATATATAGCAGAAACAAAATGCACTATGGTTTCCAAAATAGGAAAAAATTACTGTCAATATTACAGATCACTACTATATAGCTCAGCCAAGAACTCCTTCATTCCCTTCGCATAGTGGTAAAAAGAGTAAATATTATTCCGATACTTGCCAACACAGCTAATTCCATTTCCAGCCCATCCAGTGTTACATTGACAGTTTGGATTAGAGCCTACATCTTGACAGGTGGCCTGGGCGTGACAGGGCGTTTGACACGTGACTGGTGGGCTGATGGTAGATGTTGTGTACACTGGTGAAGAGATTGTTGTTATTGTTTGGAAGTTTTGATTATGATGCATGCTTTGATATGTGAAGCATGGAAATGATATGCTGCCCGTTTATAGGTATTAAGGCATTATATCTAATTGTCTACAGAAAAGCCGACTGATTATGGTCCCTTAAATGAATAGAAGCATCTTTATTTGTGCATGCTAAACTTAGGCAACAAAACATAAACGGGACTTTGAAATCTGATTGATTAAGAAATCTAGTTTAGAAGGTAACATGCCGACACTATGCAGGGAATTTGCAATTTTAATGTTCGCAAAAATCTAGTTCCATATGTGACATGCCGACAAGATGTATAGAATTTAAAAATTCAATGTTAGTGTTCACAGGCTTTGACAAAACGGAATACCTGAACATCCTGTTCCAAGAAAATGACCATCTCCTGTATATCCAGTGTTACAGGTACAAGTCGCATCCAGGGCAGGAGCGGGGTTATCTGTACAGGTGGCCTCTGTCACACACGGGCGGACTAAACAGGCATCTATATCTACAGGTGGAAACATTATGAAGAATAATGTGATTTGTAATCATTAACAGATGCTAACAGAGTGGTAGGTTCAACAGACAAAATAACAAAACATCATCCATGCATATGTTATTCTATATACTGACAAGCATGCATATCTCTGTAGTCTCGATCGCATTTGCACAGATGCCCTCACCATTACATTCCGGAACACTGGCACTCCAGGTCCCGTCCCCCTGGCAGGTGACACTGGTACTGCCATCCAGTTCGTATCCCTGGTCACAGCTGAACGTCACCACATCCAGGTAGGTGTTCGATCCAACAGGACTCAAACTGCCATTTGGTGGAGCTAAAAGGTTAGGACAACTAACCACTAGGGAGTAAAAGAAAAGAAACAGGTTGTATTTTTAACTTCCGCTCTGCAATAAGCAAAATCCGAATCAGCGCCCACCCTCTCGTAATAGAGAGAGGGCGGTATAAGAAGTTCCCTGTGTATGAACGAATTTGTAAATACTGTGCGTTAAATAATGTGAAAGACGAAACACATTTTATCTCATGTAAGTTCTAACCATTGCAGGTTGGGACATTTGCACTCCAGGTCCCGTCCCCCTGGCAGGTGGCACTGGTACTGCCGTCCAAATCGTATCCATGGTCACAGCTGAACGTCACCACATCCAGGTAGGTTTCTGCGCCAACAGGACTCAGACTTCCGTTCGTTGGGGGCGAGAGTAAAGGACAATTGACGGCTGAAATATAATGTAGGAAGCGATAGATTAAAAAAAAGGCTTAAATCGTTGTCTGTGTCAAAGGTTTGCTTACGATCTACTAACTCCTTGTATCTATAAATATCAACCTCTTCTTATCTCTACATGTTGGGGCAGAATTACGCCATGTTCTGTCAGCTTGGCATATTGCACTAGAGGCTCCGTTCAGCCCGTATTGTTTGTCTGCCATACACGTTCCAGCACGGCAAGACATGACATTTTGCCAATTTTAGACATGTTGGCCACTGTCAACGGGCAACAATTTTTTTCTAAATCAGGCGAATATTAATGCGCGCGCTGATGTCATCCATAAAAATTACTTGCTGTGGCCTACTAGCATAAACTTCCAAATTTTCTTACGTGTGCATGTTGGTACAGGATTGCTCCATATTCCGTCAGCTTCGCACGTCGTATCAGGAGTGCCGTTCAGTACGTATCCCGTGTTACAGGTAAAGGTGACCACGGTCTGGTAGGAGGTCGCTGTGGTACTAAGCGCTCCGTTAGTTGGGACCGTTAACGTTGGACATTGTCTCACTATAATATGCGTGAATTTCTGTTAGTGGAAGTCTGGTTGGCAATGTTGGAATCTAAAAAAAAACTCTTCCAAAAAATAGTATGTTTACACCACAGTAGTGTAGACGTCAATACATCAAACATAGCTAGATGCTATTGGTATCTATCAATGTCAAACACATCTCACCTCTACATGTTGATACAGGATTGCTCCATGTTCCGTCAGCTTGGCACGTTGCACTAGAGATTCCGTCTAGCCTGTACCCCTGGTTACAAGTAAAGTTGACCACGGTCTGGTAGGAGGTCACTGTCGTACTGAGCGCTCCGTTGGCTGGGGCCGTCAACGTTGAGCATTGTATCACTAATATAATGACATAGTTATAATGAGTGAATTTCTGTCGGTCGTAGTATGTTTGGTATTATTTTAATTTTAAAAAGAGTCCACTTCCTATGTTTATTCCATGGTAGTGTAGAAGTTAAAACATTACACATAGCTAGATGCTATTAGTATCTATCAGTGTCGAACTCATCTCACTTCTACATGTTGGAACAGGATTACTCCATGTTCCGTCAGCTTGGCACGTCGCACTAGAGACTCCGTTTAGCCTGTACCCTTGGTTACAAGTAAAGTTGACCACGGTCTGGTAGGAGGTCGCTGTGGTACTGAGCGCTCCGTTGGCTGGGGCCGTCAATATTGGGCATTGTCGCACTAATATAATGACATAGTTATAATGAGTGAATTTCTGTTGGTCGTAGTATGTTTGGAATTATTTTAATATTAAAAAGAATCCACTTCTTATGTTTATATTACGGTAGTGTAGAAGTTAAAACATTACACATAGCTAGAGGCTATTAGTATCTATCAGTGTAGAACTCATCTCACCTCTACATGTTGGTACAGGATTGCGCCATGTTCCGTCAGCTTGGCACGTTGTGTTAGTGGTGCCGCTCAGTACGTATCCCGGGTTACAGGTAAAGTTGACCACGGTCTGGTAGGAGGTCGCTGTGGTACTGAGCGCTCCGTTAGCTGGGGCCGTCAACGTTGGACATTGTCTCACTAAAATAAAATAAAAAATACTTGTAAAAAGACACACACGTGAATTTATTGAAGTGGAAGTCTTTTTGGTATTGTTTAAATCTTGAAAAGAACCTGTTTCTTACGTTACACATGAACGCAATTAGTATCTATCAAATGTCAAACTCATCTCACCTCTACATGTTGGAACAAGATTACTCCATGTTCCGTCAGCTTGGCACGTTGTATTATTGGTGCCGTTCAGTACGTATCCCGGGTTACAGGTAAAGTTGACCACGGTCTGGTAGAAGGTCGCTGTGGTACTGAGCGCTCCGTTAGCTGGGGCCGTCAACGTTGGACATTTTCTCACTAAAATATGAAATAGTTGTAAGGACATATACGTGAATTTATTTAAGTGGAAGTCTGTTTGGTATTAAGAACCTGTTTCTTACGTTACGCATGAACGCAATTAGTATCAATCAAATGTCAAACTCATCTCACCTCTACATGTTCGAACAAGATTGCTCCATGTTCCGTCAGCTTGGCACGTTGTATTAGTGGTGCCGTTCAGTACGTATCCCAGGTTACAGGTAAAGTTGACCACGGTCGGGTAGGAGGTCTCTGTGGTACTGAACGCTCCGTTAGCTGGGGCCGTCAGAATCGGACATTGTATTGCTGAAATGGCAAAAAAACATGTTGTTACTAAATTATATTTCTATACAGAATGCACAAAGTGACTTTTTTAATAGACGGCTGTTTTTTATGTTATAGATGTCCAGCTGCGTTTAGTTTCCTTCTAAAACTCTCTTTACTACGTAGTAAATGTCTGTACGCTAGAATTTGATAGACATTTGATAGCATGTATCAACTTGCAAATCGTCTTACGTGTGCATGTTGGTACAGGATTGCCCCACGTTCCGTTAGCTTGGCACGTTGTATTAGTGGTGCCGTTCAGTACGTATCCCGGGTTACAGGTAAAGTTGACCACGGTCTGGTAGGAGGTCGCTGTGGTACTAATCGCTCCATTAGCTTGGGCCGTTACAGTCGGACATTGGATCGCTAAAATTTTCAAAACCCTGTTATTAATAATTATTACTGAAATCTGTTTATTGCGTTTTATGAAAAATTATGAACCCTGGCATTGGATCGCTGCAATCAAAGGTAAAATAAAAGTTGCGGGCAAACCTGCCTTTTAAAGTAGGATATTTACATTAACGTAAGGAATTGATACCATATTACAGAAACCTATTGGTACTGTATACTTTGCAAAACGACGACCGTTAGTAGATGTCCCACAACCAACATTAAAAGTGACCTCCCTTGATATACCACTGCAGTGTAGGCGGTAAAAGTATATTTTTTTGTTGAGTTTCCCCAGCAGGCTAAGCAGCTCTCGCTTTGTGACCCGCTTCCGCTCGCTCAGTTCGCATAGTAGGGTCCGCATGTCGCATAGTTTCGCACTGGGTAAGGAGAGAGTTCGCTCCACCGCGTCAATGTCAATGCCAAGAAAGGTAATCCGTTGCGTAGGGTACACCACTTTACGCCAATTTATTTCAAACCCTAATCGTGTCAGAAGGTCCACCAGGGTTTGGAATGCCAGGTGGCACTCCGCATACGTCGCTCCGATTATGAGAAAATCATCTAAGTAAACAACTATTGTGTGGTATCCGCGTCTTTTCATCATCCGCCTCACTGATTGGGAAAGTCTATGAAATACTTCAGGTGATCGTCGGGCGCCAAACGGTAGCTTTGTATCGAAAATATAAGTGTACTCACGCTGTCCGTCAAACTGCCATTTCAGTCCGGTGGCGTCATAGTTAGAAGGGTGGATTGGGACCGACCGGTACGCTGATTTCAGGTCTATCTTCGCCATGAAATAGCCTGGCTCTAACATGTTAACCGCGTCGTCAAGGGTTTGATAGGAGAAGTGTTCTGTTTCAACATAGTCATTTAAAGCTGTTCCCACGGGGCGACTACAGTCGTGGATGAGACGTACGTCGTCAGAATTCGCCTTAGGGATAGCACCTAGTGCGCTCACTATTGTCGGTTTCGTGTCGCTCTGTTTGTAGTTGCCTTTGTCCAGTTCGCTGGAGAGTTGAGCCTCGACCTTCTCGCGCACGGAGGGGTCAGTCGCTGACCTGTAGTTATGGCATTCTACAGGGGAAAGTTCAATGTTGTCGGGTAGGATACGAAATCCGTTTTGCACTCCATCTAATAAGAAATCTTTGTCGGGGTCGTTCGCAAGTTCGGTTAGCCATACTTCGCTGTTCAGTGGGGACTCCACGAATTGCTATTTTTGCTTCTTGTGCTCGTGTTGTGGATGGAGTTCCCCGCAGCCTGGGACGATACACACATGGGCGTAGTTGCACGTGGCACGGCGGCATCCTGTCTGGTTCTGGTAGTTGACACAGATCTCCTGACCGTCCGTCGTCTTTGCCCGTGCTGCCGCGGGTCTGCGCTGCTGTGGCCGTGCTGGGGGAGCATAGGCCGGCTTACTTCGTAGGAAGCGGGAGTGGAGGTGCTCGGAATCCTTGCCCCAGCGAAACTCATTGCGGTGTTGGATGACCCTGTACTGGTTGTCGTACAACATTACCGATGCACAATCGAACACTTCGAAGAGCTCAGAAACCTTCACCGTATAACTCAGATAGTCCGAGATATCCTGCCTAGTTTTAAGCTTGTTGTCCTTGATCAGAGCGTCCATGATTTTGGCATTAGCCGCAGACCACGCTGGAACTTTAATGGACTCTAGCTTTGGTTTGGTCTTGCTGGTACGTAAGATGATGGCCGTCTGGCCATCCCTAGCAATCTCGTGATCACTTTCAGGCTGAGTGTAAGAGTCGACGAAATCGGGTATAAGCAAGGGCTTCTCACCTGGCTTGGAAGTCGGGGAAGTGAGGTAAAACGACTGGTCGTCGTCCTTGATGACCTCCGCTGTGTCGTCGACTTCGGCGAGAAGGGCGTTGAGGGCCTGGTCCGCTTTTAGGTCCTCCAGAGTGACCTTCTGCAGGGCTGCCTTCGCTGGTGTTGTGACCTGCAGTTTCGCGGTAGCCTTGCAGAGTAAAGCGTACTGCCCGATCGTGACCTCCAGGTCTTTCAACATCTCCGCCGTCACACACTGAAGGGCAGTTGGTTCCGTGAGGTCGGCTTCTTCCATCTTTTTGATGGTCACGGACGAGAGTTTGGCCTCGGAGGCCCACGCCTTGAAGTCAAAGTTTGCCGACATCGCTCACTTGATTTTTAGCGGCCGCACCCGAGAAACGCAGGGTCTGAGTGACCACACTGGCCACGCTGGCCAGCATCTGTTGTAGATTACACAGAGTAGTGTCGCTTGTCCCCCCTCGTATGGGGGGACCGTTCGTTAGCTATAGCCTATGCTAAACAACAAATAAAGTAATTCTTTATTTTAGTCGTAAAATTACTTGTGTATATCAGTCTCAAATTCATCTTACGTGGACATGTTGGAGCAGTGTGACTCCATGTTCCGTCAGCTTGGCACATCGCAGTACCAACGCCGTTCAGTACGTATCCCGTGTTACAGGTGAAGGTGACTCCGTTACGGTAGGAGACCGCTCCGGTAGGACTCACCGCTCCGTTAGCTGGGGCCTGCCGAGCCGCACATTGAACCGCTGCAATCGAAGGTTTGAAAAAAAATACTGTTAAAGCTGGGTCAAATGTCTTGTTCATGCCTTTAACAGATTTTGAAATGTACCTCTAGATTAGGAATTTACAATTTTTACAGAAACCTGTACAACAGGCTCCAACAGGCAATTTTTATTTTTTTATTTCATTTTAACGCCTACATTTTAATACGTTTTGTAAAGCTAGGTGAGGAAGCAATTTTTCGTTACAGAAGCATGCAGGGCAGGTCCTCTAGATACTAAAAGCGGCAGCCAGAAGTACACCGCCTATATATAGTTCCCAATAATAAAAGAGGTCTCCCTTCCGCTGTAATAAAAGCGTGTACATTGCACCAGAAAAGTTGATAACAGACAAAAGAACCAAGCTGGAAGATCTGAATTCACTTCGAAAACATATATTTTCATATTTCAAAGACTCTTACCATTACAATGTGGAATATTGCCACTCCAGGTCCCGTCCACCTGGCAGGTGACACTGGTACTGCCGTCCAACTCGTACCCCTGGTCACAGCTAAAAGTCACTACGTCTTGGTAGGTGTTGGAACCAACAGGACTTAGACTTCCATTTGTTGGGACAGTAAGTACAGGGCACTCGGCCAGAATTGTTGTGGGAATAAATGTTGTTTGTAATGTGGTTGATGCGGTTGTATGTCTTGTTGTTTGTATTGTGGTAGAATCAGTTGTAGGTTTACTTGTTTGTATTGTTGTGGAATCAGTTGTAGGTCTTGTTGTTTGTATTGTAGTCGAATCAGTTGTAGGTTTCGTTGTTTGTATTGTGGTTGAATCAGTTGTACGTTTTGTTGTTTGTATTGTTGTAGAGTCAGTTGTAGGAATCGTTGTTTGTATTGTGGTAGAATCAGTTGTACGTTTTGTTGTTTGTATTGTTGTAAAATCAGTTGTACGTTTTGTTGTTTGTATTGTGGTTAAATCAGTTGTAGGTGCTGTTGTTTGTATTGTGGTAGAATCAGTTGTAGGTTTGGTTGTTTGTAATGTGGTTGAATCAGTTGTACGTATTGTTGTTTGTATTGTGGTAGAATTAGTTGTAGGTTTTGTTGTTTGTATTGTGGTAAAATCAGTTGTAGGTTTGGTTGTTTGTAATGTGGTTGAATCAGTTGTTGGGTCTGGTTTTGTTTCCTTTGTGTTTGATCTCATTGTTGGTTCAGGTGTCATTTGTATGCTTTTCAAATCAGTTGATTGTTGTGTTGCTGTTTGTACTATGGTAGAACTCATTGTTGGTTCAGGTGTCATATTTATTGTGTTTGAATCAGTTATCGGTGTTGGTGAAACTGAGCAGGTAAAACCGTTGCCGACGAATCCTACGTCACATGTGCACAGAACAGTTCCCCACAACAGTCGGCAGGCGGCGTTAGCGTCACAAGGGTGTGGATCGCACAGGTCAGCGCCTGCCAGCAAAAGCAACGTTAACTTATTCATCCTTGATTCTGTTTGAATAAACCTATTTTTTATTATATTGCTCTTGCAAACAAAATAACATTGTTAGTTATGTTTAAATTACCTTTTGGTGAAATCTGAGAAACGAACTAGATTTCGTCCATCTTATACCTCCATGAAATCTTTAGTGCTTTTGTAAATTATATGCATGGTAGTGACCATAGTGAACATTTTTACTGCGATTATGCAAATTATAAGACCCCCATTTTCATATATCAAATGATCATGTTCTCCACCCAATGACAGGGTTTTCTAAAAAATAAGACTATTCTAGCTTTTTCTCATGAATCATGCAAATAAGAACCTGATTTGAAAAAAAAAAATGTTAAGTGCTGGTAACTTTTACTGAACTTCCGATTATGGCAAGTATTAGATTCCCAATGTAGCAATTTCACATTAATTATACAAATTAGGTCTCATTACATCTGCTAATGTTCTCAATTACATATGTCACAAGTGTTCATAGCCCTTATATCGAACACAACAGATTTATAGAATCTCCTCATCAATTATTCAAATTAGATCCTGATTACCATAATTGTAACTCAGTTATGCAAAACATTACTTCAGCTACCTACATATCAAAATCACGACAATCCGTTTACCAGTTTTTAAGTTATCCTCTCTCCAAGATTTTTAAACTGTCCTGAAGTTCCATTACAAGTTGCTAGGGGGCCTAAACTCACGTGACTTCTTCCAGAGCACAAGAGCTACCTACTTCATGATCCTGGCATGTCCAGATTGCGAGACATCAAAACCGGACGTTGCGCTGCAGTACCAAGGAAGGCCACCGGGGGCCTAAATCTAATCATTTTCCAGCTTTCTCTACACCCTACCAACGCAACAAGTATGAACCCAATCCATACGGCCGTCCTTGAGTTATTTTGTTTGACAACAGACGGGCAAACGCAACTAAAAATATAACGGCCATGAAATGTCATGGACGCAATAAGCCTGGGGCGTGTATTGAACAAAGGAACAATGGCACACTTTGTACTCACCCAATGATTGTATTGTCATAAATCCTACATACAGAAACGCAAAAAAGGTCAAATTTAAGGGAGAATCCAAATTAGCCTAAACATTTGGAATATACCCTTAATTTTGAAGAATCTACTTGGAATAGGCACGATTAAAAAAATACGTTCAACCCACCATTTGATGAAGAGCAGTTGTTGTGAGGGAGACGCAGACAGATCGAAGCATCCCATTGAACACCGGCGGCCAGAGCTCTCTCCCCACATGTAGCGTTAATCTCATTGCAGAACGAACGGCATGGAAGTCTGTAAAACGATTTAGCAACGCTCTTTTGTACAAAGTACGGTATGTTTCTATTGAACACACAATTACAGGGTTGCTATTCAAGCGCATACAAAATAGTGATATTGAGCAGTTGTTACTTTTCATTTGAATTCACCACAGGTGCAAAATGAACCTCCAAAGATACTCACATTTGCCCTTCAGATGTACACTGCGGAAACAAAATCGAACACATGAAGAGATTCAAGTCCGGATGACATTCACTGATTGCATCGTATGCCGGGATCACGAACGGGGCGCCTTGGAGAGCAAATCCTTGATTCGGCCACCCGACGATGTTCGGGAAGGATGTTTGGGAGTACGGCAGACCCAGGCAACGGCTGTACCGGATTGGTTCGCATCCTTTAATAAATATAGAATACAACACGGGGTATTCCGTATCGCCCGAGGTACCAGCCCGACCGCGCGTCGGATCGCCCGACGGCCGAAGGCCGGAGGGAGATCCGATCCGCGGGAGGGCTGGGACCGAGGGTGATGCGGAATACACCGTGTTGTATTTTATTTATGTCATACCCACCCAAGAAAACGCACCTTTCAATGCGAAATGAGCGAAAATGTGGTGTCCCTAAACCCAAAATATGCGACAACATCAATTCCAACGTCCGAATTTTGTATTCGAATTTCTAAATCGGTGCACGCGGTTAGGGCGAAACGCGTTCGAATCGTTCTATGGAACATTTGGAAGCCCCGGGCCGTACGCGTTCAGAACCCCCGGGCCGTACCGCTAGTTATCACACGGGCCGGAACACGCGTATCGAACGTAATCGCGGCCCAGGTAGGACATAAAGGAACATATGGAGAAAATACAGGTAACTGAAGCTTCGGGAGCCATACCAGATCCTACAGTATGCATGCAATATGGATACTATATCATCAATTTTGCATGGAATCAGGAGGGAAAGTATCACTGCTGTTGAATATTCGTTCCTTCTAATAACTTAAAGCTACAAGTAAAAGGAGAGTTAGAAAGTAAAATATCTTTAAGGCAAATAAAATGTAACATTACAATAAGTGAAGTGAAATGTCGTTTGATGAATTGCAAGGAGATTCTGTCAAATCATATATTTCAAGATGTAAGCTAAACATTCAGCTGCAGTATTCTCCGATTGTTAACAAAGACACGGTTCTACATACCTGTTGGCTGTGTGATCAAAAAGCAGGTTGGATCGTCCATCTGGTCGGGAAATACGTTGCAGGAAAATGGTAAACTCAACCCAACCGGTGAGCATCTTGCGTTCATTTCCTCACAGGAACTTCTGCACAGCTGTATCTGCAGTTGAGAAGAAGTAATAAATGAATCACAATTACCTGTAATTTTGAGTAATGCCTATATATACTTAACACTGACATCAATTTATGAATGATATAATGCAGGAGTATAACATTCACATTGCAACGGAATGGGTACAAGTTAAGAAAAAGGTTGACTAGACAAAAGATTCAATATTTCTATGTGTAACAGTCAAATATATTCTCCTACCTGCGTGCCATTGTCACACTGAGGCAAAAACATCCGACAAAAGGCTGTATAGACGTCTGGATAGCAGCTTGAAATGTTGTTTAGGACCGATCCGAAGAGGAAGAACTCTTGGGAACTTATCATCTGCTGTGCAGACAGATGACCAAAGGAGTTGGGGAATGATGTTGTGTTGTACCCGGTGAATGTTTGGCAAACGCCCTGAAATACTTGAGGAAAGGGCTCGCAACCACCTGTAGAAAGGAAACATGACACATAAAGCTGATTATAATGTAATGATATGATGGTAAAAAACCTGTCCCTCTTACTCATACAAATAAATATACAATTGTAAACGAAGCTGCGTGCGATGACTGGCTGGACCAAACGTAGAGACAGATCTAGACTCAATCGCAGATGAGAAGACCTGAGACCTAGCCACAGCCTGGGAGAGGGCATAGGACAGTACCAAATGTTTTGATTCAAGTAAGCAATTTCAAGGTAAACCTTACACATTTAATGACGTACGAACATTTTGAACTTAATTCGGTATAACCGTCCTTGGGTGTAACGATCGGCATCGAAGCAATGCTAGAAGAAGTAGCACACAATCTCAAATGTTTATACGAAGTACGCATCTACGCATCTATATCTTATCAGATATAGTCTCACGGCGTCAAGGCAACAGTTAACTTTACCAGATTCTGGCTCAAGACATCTCCCGTCACGCCTGCTCGGCAGATCTGCACAGCTCCGTGGCCATTCTTCGCCGATAGCCTGCAGTGGAGCTTCACAGCTGGCTTGGACTTCTTCACACAGTTCTCTGCATGGTGGAACCTGAGAAACGAGCAAAGGAGCAGAATTTAGGACACTTCATGTCATTGCCGCCAGCTTCATGATTATGTATAGAAAGCTTTGCTTTTGATGATGTGCAAAAGGGCTAAAACATAGCCATGCAAAAGCCTAGAAATGATGATGCATTTTATAGTTACACTAGCAGTGTCTAGATCTTCTCTTTTTATTCGTATAGTACGTACCAGCTGGTCATCTTCGCACTTTGGAAACACTGTTGTGCACATGAGGAATGTGAAAGACGGGTGACATCCCGATACTTGGTTCAGGGCAAAGGCAGCCTGAACAGTTGATGTCTCTGAGGTATGGTTTAGGTAGTTCGGTAACGACGTGTTTCCATACGACAGGAGATGGGTACAAATGGATTGTATTGTAGGAGGGATGGGTCGGCATACACCTGTACAGAAATAAAACAAAACGTATATCTAAAATTATCTTCAAACATGGTCACTTCCACAAGAGAGTAGATAACCACTGGGCTTCGTAGGACTAGAATGTCACCCGATTTTAATCTATTGGCTTTGGAATACCATAGAGAATATGATGTGTTTATTGAATGGAGCGGGATGGCATCTTTATGCAAGAATCAATCGTTAAAACACTAGCTCACCGGGAGGATCATTATTCCTGCAAATTCCTGGGAACTCGTCGAAGCCATCACTGCAGTCTGGAACTCCGTTACAAGTCTTCACCCGGGAAATGCACTCTCCGCTAAACAAGCATTGGAATTGTGTACATCGTTCTGTTCAAGGGAAACAGAAATATAGCAATACATGACACATATTCTTGAATAGTTTTGTGTATCTGGCCCAACATTCTGGTATTGTTCAAAGAAAACGTAGATGCATTTTGTACACCTTGTCTTAGATTAGGGTCCAAGTACGTTGTGCGTATCACACATAGAGAAAGCATGCTGCAAGCATTTTATATTGTCCTTATCAGTAGCCTTTACACATGTAGGCTTAGATTATTTTAATCTTTAAAAAAATGATTTAGATGGCAATGATAGTTAGCACTTCAGCTCTGGTCGGATGGGAAAGTAATACATTTATGTAGCCTGTATGTATGATGTGCTGCTTTAGACAAACTAGCTCATTTGATCTTACCAGGGGTGGTGCTTGGCCGTTGAGTGGTAGCTGCTGCAGTAGTGACTGTTGTGTTAGGTTGTTGAGTAGTTGTATATGGATGGACAAATTTACATAGTCAATGGCCTAGCATTGTATATCATACTTTAGTTTAAACTGAATGTCATTATTTGTGTTTGAGATATGGCATTAAGTAAATGGAATATCCATCTGCAATAAACCCCCTTAGAACGGAGTATAAAGTCAATCAAATCAAATTACACAAAAAGCAGTTTCATAAGATCAAGAAAACAATAGACATTGGGAAAGCCAGGAAGTATATTTTAGCACACAAATAGACAATGGGACTTACAAAAACCTATTGGACTTTTAAATATACATGATAGCAGAAAAACATGTGCATCAACCATGCTCGTAGCCAGGATTTTGAATGGGGAGGTTCTTCCCACTGCTTGAGGGACCAGCGAGCGCCGAAGGCGCGAGGTTCCTAGGGGGGTCCAGGGGTATGCTCCCCCGGAAAATTTTGAAAAATGGACCTTCTGAAATGGCATTTCCTACATTTTTGAAAGTATTTTAGAGGACAAATGACAAATTAGGCAGTTTTTTTACGATTCCAGGCCCAACGGTTATATAAATCAGTCCATCTAAAGAGAAATATTTGACCTTTAGAAAAAAAAGTGCACCCAAAAGTGGACCTTTGAGTCTTGG